CAAGTGAACAATGGTATACTGTACCTGTTAGTCTGATAGGTAAGAGTTTCTGAGAGTTGATCAGCTAAGATGTCCACTTAGACATGATAGAAATTGAAGTTGAGATCTTGATGTCACGGTGGTGTGTGGATTGTCATCAACCCAGGCATGGCTATTGTGAAAGTTCACAGTACCATTCCTTGTGAACCCCATCTCGTCAGTAAACTTGATGTTAGTTACAGATTATGTGTTTACAGTGCATTTTGTGAGAAACCATTGGCAAAACATCTCCCTTGCACAGTGGTCAGGAGGAATGAGGGCTTGCATTTGCTGGATGTGGTATGGGTAAAGTGATTGTTCGTGGGGAATTTTCCAAAGAAAAGGAACGACCACTGATACTTTCAACAGCTGCAGTTCTTTGCACACTGGCTCCAAGAACTTCCACTCTTTTCAGTATGCAGATTTTTCAAAAACTTCCATATTTCAGCAGGCAGTTATTTCTGGACATAAGCTGGCTGGGAATTTTTTTATCATTTAAGTGAATACTGTGGAGCCATGGTAGCATTGTTGGTATAGCAACTGGCTACCAGCTGAACAACTGAGGGGTCAGAGTTCCAAGTCCCAGTATGGTGAAGAATTTTCTCTACTCCAAATTGTCCAGACTGGCTCTGAGGTCCACCCAACCTCTATCCAATGGGTACCGGGGTCTTTTTCTCCGGGGGTAAAGTGGCTGGGCGTGAAGCTGACAACTTGCTTCCAGCTAGTGCCGAGGTCAAGAAAATGTGGATGTATACATCCACTCCCACATATGCCTTCATGGCGTAGTGCATAATTTGTTGAGCACAGGGACAGCTTTACCTTTAAGTGAATACTATACCCCCTTAAATTGTAAAACCTCATTAGGGAAATGGTGAGGTATCTCATAATAATGTAGCAGTTCACTAAAAAGTCTTTCATCCTGTTGTGTGTCATTCAGGAAAAATAAAATCTGAGTTCTGAGAAGACTGCTGCAACATTAATACCATCACCATGACAGGACACCTGTACATATTGCACAGTATTAAACTTCAGCTAACCCTATGATAGAAAAAATGTACAAGGGCGGGATACCAAGCTCAAAATTGAGTATAGACGGTACACAGTGGTAATGCTATAAGTGCAACATGGCATAATTTGAAGAAGGATCCCAGCACGGTTGGTTACCCCAGTTACATTTACTACAACCTCAATTAAGTAGTGGTCACATGAAAGTAAATAATACTCATTAATATAAATTAATATGTACAATTGTAATTTAAGTTTTATCTAATTTTAAGCAGCAATGATCAACTCGGAAGACATCATATGCCAGTTGTTAATAACAATACAGTATTTTAATGCTAATAAGTATATAATTAGACTCACAAATCTATACGCTAGTGGCAGACCACAGAAACACATACATAATATTTATTTTATTCTTAACTCTTTAAATTAATAATCATTTTATCCTTAACTACTCAAATTAACATAGATAATAACATAAATATCAATAATATAGGTGCATATATTGTTCGATCGAAAATTTGAATTAAGGATTGTGAAATATAAAACCTATTAATGTAAATATAAATCCGTTTTAATCCTTTAAAATATTTAAAAACTTACACTGTTGTTACATGTATGCCTGAAGATTGTCTAAAGAAAGCTCGAAACTTGTAGCATTAACATCTGTATCGATAAATGAATTGATGATACTGTAGTATCTAGTTCGTTTCAGTTTCTTTGTTTGTTGTGTTGGCTGTCCCATTTTATATTTCTCTTATTTTTCACTAAAATGTGTTTTGCTTGTAAGTTATATACCACTTGATGATGATCAGTATAACTGAAACATGTCATGGTCTTGAAATAAATAACTCCTGCTATATTCATCAACTAAGTGTTATGAAGATCGCTATTAAAGCAGTTTTACTAATACATAATGGGATGAAGGGACTGAAGGACAGCTCAATTCACACCTTCAGAGTCAGTTTCTCTGTGAGCCATTTTAATACTGCCTCCAAATTTATGCCTTGTTCTCCTAAAATTCTTCACCCGTAAATTTTTCCAACCAAAATTTTGTATACACTTGTATACTGAGATTGTATTAAAGCCTGCCACAAATCACTTGGATTATCTGGCAGGAAGGATAGATGCCTCTCGCATCAACTTGCACTGTGTGCCTTTGGACTTGTAGCATAATAGACGAGCAACAGCCTGTACATATTGTGAAAGGCCTGAGGGATATGAAACTCTGCTATTCCGAACAGGGTGCTTTGCATTCAGGTCACCTGCCAGGATGGACTTATATGTGATATCTGTGTCACTCCAAAGTCTCTGTGGAGGTTTATAGACAGCTGCAAGCAACATTTCAGTGTTTCCAATCATTATGCAGACCCCTGTTGCTTCTACTGATAGGAGAGGGGGTAAGTCGATACAAGTGTGAGGGATGCCTTACTTAACTGCACTGACAGTTCTGCCTATATGCCCATCTTCATGGTAAGTCCAATAAATATAATTTTGAGTGTAGAATCTCTTGAGGTTTCAGGTATGTCTCTGAGAACAGGGCAATGTCAATTTTCAAGTCTTGCAAATGATTCCTGACCTCATAGGCATGCCTCCCAATACTGTTAGCATTGAATGCTATGATTTTCAGGGGTCTGTGAAGTCAAAGTCAAAGTCATGTTAACACCAATGGTCAGTCCAAGACCAAATTTGTATTACTGTCAGACAGTTGCAGGTTTGTTGATGAGGGGTGCCCCCTCTGACAAGAGGACAGTTCTGCTGTTTACAATTGCTGCTGGCCCTTGCCAGAGCAGTCATTCTCAAGTCAAAGTCCTGCAGGACTTGTGACCTTATTTCACTGTCTCGGATTCAAGACTCCCCCAACCTGAAGGGCCAGGCTTAGGTATTTGTATCCCCCAGGAACAGGATGTCCCAGTTATAACCCATTCCCTTTTTGCCACCTCCTGTGACTTGCAGAGCTACAGTGGAGGTATTCGAAACCACCACCACACAGAGGCAACTGCAACTGCTGAGTCGAAGTCAGCGTTACTTTATGACTGGCGGTTTACCTCCTATCAGTTCATCTTGGCACTGAGCCCCTTAAGACTTGCAACCAGAGATTCTTTTCTCAACTGCACCCTTGTTGTCATATGCTAAGAGGTTCCTCGTTATGTAGCCCTGGGGTGGACCTATTACCAAACTTGGCTTCCAAGAATTTGTCTGTTCTTGCTTGTTTATTCATTGCCTACCAATGCTTGTTAACTTATCTGTTACCTAGCAGCAGGCAGTTTCTTCTGGCTCCATTCCTGCTCCCAACCACTGTGTCACAATATTCTTATCCTTAATGTTGTCTGGTCTGGTGCAGTTTTTAACTGGTCTTAAATACGTTGTGCGTTCAAGTTCTAAGGTCTCCGATTTTTTTTCTCACACAATAATCATACAAAAAATTTGAAACTTCTGTCACTTTTCAACGTAATCTCCCTGCAGCCGTACACATTTTTCACAATGTCGACGCCATGATTCCATGGCCGCTGCGAACGCTTCTGTAGGAGTCTGTTTTGACCACTGGAAAATTGCTGATGCAATAGCGGATTGGAAAACGGCATCCATGTCTCATCCATTGTCAC